ATGCTGTTATCCAGAGATATTGATATAATAGTTTTAAGATATCAAACTATCATGTTGTGATCACGGCTTAATGAATCATTATCTAGAGATAACCTGAGGTGGTCATAACCTTATTTCTTACATGTTCACCTTTGAGTTGTTTTCTTCTGGTCTCCTTTTTTCCTCAGGGTTAAGAGGAATGATCCCACAATGACTCGGACAAACACTGGATTTAGAATAACAGCCCATTTTCCTGCAACAATTAGGCATTTTAAGTTATGATCACAAGAAAACAGTGGTTTGACATGGTGAAACACCAGCATAATTAAATTATTATCTTGAGATACTGGGATTAGGAGAATAAACACAAGCTCCATTTGTTATCTGGAGGTAATAAAATAATGATGAGGTAGCTCAAAGTCTCGATGACGAGATAAGTGAATCACAACCAACACAATACATTATTAGAAATAGCAACCACAGAGGCTCTAGGGATAAAAACACCAAGTTTGCAGGCTGGCTCTAAGATTATTACACTGTTAGTAATAGTAGTGGTGGTACTGTTGAAACAGAAGGAGCTTAACAGCCATCTCTTCCAACCATATGCTACTGTTTGATGGCTTAACACAAAGTTGTTGGTATGCAACAGTGGATACATGCACTGGAAGGATATCATTTGCATGTCTTTACATCTGCGTGAGCTGTGCATCAAGTGGACGTTTTGTGACAGCAGCAGATTTCTGTCCGAGGCTCAGTGCTTTGGCAGTGATGGAAGGAGTGACAGTGAGTGAGGGAGAATCCAAGCGCACTTAGTTTGGCTTCCATTTGTCCTGAAGGTGACCCCTGACATTTATTCAAATGATAAACAAACAACAATGAAATCGCTCTTAATCTTTGTTTAGTTGAAAAACCTGCTAAGGATTATGAATCACTGTACTGGATGAAGATCACACAGACACCAGACACACACAGCGCATCACTAATACAGCCAAATGACATGTTTCCAGTCTCTCCTTATGGCTGCTTGTGTTGTGAAGTCATCACTGCGCATTCAGCAGTGAGTGAAAATACACGGACGTGTTGTACTTTCTCTCTACCTGAAGCTGTAGCCTTGTCAGTGCTGCGCACATAGTTTGATTATTACAGGAAGTAACTAGTGCATTTTTCACCTGTTTTGGCACTTTTGATTTGATTTTAAATGGAATAATGATGTATGGGCTGAACATAGTGTAATGAATGATTTTTTTAGAATTGTCCAACATCACCTTTCTCACTGGCAGTCAGGTTGAAACCATCCTACAGGTGAGCATCACCTGGGAAGACACCAACTGTCTGCTGATGTCTGTAGGTCACTGACTGCAAACGATTTAGTCTAGTGTGAATATAAACTTTCAAATTAAAGCTAAAATGTTGTGCCTTAACAATATAGGTATTTCTAAATCAATAATCCTGGTGTTTACAGGGAGCAGAAATCTCTGTCCTATTATGCACAGAATCCATAAGATTTAATATTTTAAAGTCTCTTACAATAAAAAGCTTAACGTAAAAAGATCAGAGTATATTATACCATAACAAAATTATAATGTCCTTCTGCTTAGGTGAAAGTTAAACACATTGACAAAGGTCACAAACAGTAGATGCATGCTCCTCACTCATATACACACATTCAAATGATCCTTAGTGAAAAAGACAAATTACACATTATTTTAGTGCATTTGTTACATCATCAGTCCAAACTACCTCATACTGTATTCTCTCAGTGGAACAGCACTAATATATTTATTTATACACTCATGGCCACTTTATTATTTATTTGTCCTCCCAAGCTACATGCATGAAAGGGTCAGAATATCAGGAACATCTCTGAATATAATGCTGTCTGGTGCAACACCACCTTTAACTATGACTTCAGTAATAAACATATAATTGAATTTATACATTTATGATAATTTCACATTTTGAGCTTCATAAACATAAAGGTTAAGGTGGAGGTGTTGCATTGAAGTGCATACAATTGCACAGGTGTACCTAATAAAGTGGCCGCTCAGTGTATTAATGACTGTTAACAGGTAGGGATATGTCAAGCCTGCTGTTACATGTAGGTAGCTGTTGTCTCTGGTTTGCAGTCCTGTGAGGGGGCAAGACACTAAAGCCTTGTGGAACATTGTCATCATTAAGATGTATTCATAGTTCACACCTCTCTCTTTCTGTTCTCCAGCTTTCAGTGCTTTTGCTTCCTCAGTGAAAGACCCCGTGGGAACAAAAGGAAATATGTGTGTTTCGAATAATTGGCTCTAAGGTAACATGAGTCTTTGAGTTGTTGTAGCAAACTCCAAAACAGGCTGGTTCAGTTCAGCCACTGTGCTCACATGTTCTTTTTGTTGGTGTTCCGCAGCATGATTTTCAGTTCTGACGCATCCTACAGTATAGGTTGTAGGACCAGTTTTTATCTCCTGTCATGGTCATTGTTGCATGAGGGTATTGCCAGCATGTTGTTATAAACATTCTACAAAATACACTGAGGTAGAAGTTGGTCCAGCAATTACTGTAATCGAATACTAGAGGTTTATCATCGTAATAATAACCATTATTTCTGTAGATTTTTCAGAAACAGATTTACTAAGTGCAGTGAAGTAAAACATGTTCCACTAACACATGCTGTTTAATGGTGTTTTCCTATTCCTGTACATAATAAAGAAACTTGAACAAATATTATCAGTCCTTAACTGAATAACACACAAGAACATTTTTCTGATCTGAAGAAAATTTTTCAGGTTTTACCGCTGCAACTTCCTTGTTCCTATGCAAACAAGTGCATGCCAGTTTGAATGATGATGACAGCCCACAGCACTGCTGCCCTTTGCTAACCAATTATTGTGTTCAAGTTTCTCAGCACCTCTGTTGTTTTTGCTGGAGGTATGGTTTTGTGAGATAAGAACACAAGAAGCAAAGAGTTCGCTCTCCTTTTATGCTAAAAGTCACAAAATGAAGTTGACAAGGCAAGTTTAGGGAGTCATTTCCTGTGTCATCACAAAATAAGTCCTGGATTCACTGAGATATCACTGCTCAAACAATGCATATTTTTGAACAACTGTGGTTTTTATCACAAAGGGCTTTATCATCAAAGATATAATTCAACAATTCAGGAAAACCTATCATTTGCTTTCTTGCTGAGAAAATTGATACCACTCTCACAGGCTCTCTGTTCAGTAAATATGAAGCTGCAGCCAGCAGTCGATTAGCTTAGTGCAAATAGTCCTGCACGTAACCCCTGTAAAGCCACAACTTGTCATTTTTATGCATCTGTTTTTGGACTGAACGCAAAACAGAACTTAACTTTCATGCTGAGCTTTAAAGGTGCTACTAGGCACATTTTCCCAGTGAACAGAGCCATGCTATCTGTCTCCCCTCGTTTCCAGCCTCTGCGCTAAGCTAACAAACGCTGGGCTGCAGCTTCAAGAAAGCAAAGAAGTGTGAATACAGTGTTTCTCAAAACATTGAACTATTCCTTTAATAATGCCATTAACTACCAACCTAGCAATCATTTTGTCAGAGTGGCTCTGTGTGCACTCAGCACATGTGGAAGGATCTAAAGGTGTCTGCATTCAGAAAGCAGCCAGTAAGACAATATGAAGATTGAAAAGGAGAAAAGCTTGTCAGTATCAATCATCTTTACTGGCAAAACTCCTGCTGGCAGAGTACTATGGTGCGCTGAGGGTGGCCAAAGAATTAACACGTCTACATGAATCGGGGCCTTCTGAGCTTGTTTCCTTTGCCTTAAAAAAGGGCCTCACCACAACAGGCAGCACCGCACTGCCAAAAGAGATGGCTGGAGTAAGTTTGCTGGTGTTTATTCAGAGCTAACCACAGGCACACAGCCATTTTCTGCAGCTTAGGTCCAATGAGGAATTTACTGAACAAGCATTACCTTAAATAATCTTTTATCTGACTACCGAAAAGGCTGACAATGTACTGTATGTATCATAACCGCTGTAGACAATTGCTGTAGGAACCACTTAAACTGTAGCCCTTCTTGTAGAAGTGTGAGAAGAAAGACTTAGTGAAATGCAGTAGATGAATGCTGAACAAGTCAGTGAGTTCACGGCCATCTATTAGATTATCATCAAACACCAATATAAAGTCAGACCAAAACACTTCACCACTGCATCTTTGTGCAGGTGTCTCTTAGTGTTTCTAGGAATGTGCTAACTACGCATCATCATCACCATCATGTTGGTATGGTACACTTTGTCCTAGCCTTTCAAATTATATTCAGCTTTTATTCTTTGTAGGACACCCACAGCACCAATCAGTCTGCATTTCCAGTGCCTACCATGCAAAGTAGCTATCTGAAAGAGACCATTAATATATGTATGTAATAAGATATGTTTACAGACCAGAACTAAGACATATAGTGATGTGGCTTTTTCTATCATAGGCTGACACCTAGGATTAGGTTAGGGCCTCCCACACAGTAGATCCTTTCAAATGGAACATTAAAACATGTTTCTGTAGACTTGCTTATGTGTAGCCTGAGAGGTCTTAAAATAATTTTATGTTTCTTTTGGAATTTGTTATTGGACAGCACTTTGAGTGGCACTTGTATGAGCTGTGCTATATGAATAAAGTTATACTAGAGAGCAAATGCACTCTAAACATAAACGTAACTAAACGTAAAACTAAACATAAAAACGTTAAATACTGATGACTGAATGATGAAAAAATAATTACAGGTCCACACATTTACTCAGTATGGTGTGATACAATATAATTTACATGAAAATAATGTGGCTACTATAATTTCACGTTCATATAAATATCGTTTACTCCTCCCATAAAGTCAAACTGTGCGTGTATAAATCGCCTGTCCTACGCTATGATTGGCTGGCTGGAATAACAAGAGCCCTGATGTTCAGGCATTTAACATCTGGGAGATAAGTGAGCCAGGCTGGGTGGGACGCAACTCAAAAACTCGAACAACTGGCCAATCGGAGACGTTATGAGCCTAACGTCGTTTCGTGATTAGATGGAACGCCTGTCAAACTACGCGGAGGGGGCGGGGCCTCAGCGCTCGCCGAAGTGTTGTGATTTCAGTCTGGCTTCAGTCTTGTGACAGGAGTGAGGGGCGCTTTTCAGTGCTTTGTGCTCTCGGAATATGAATCTCCTGGCGAAGAAAGCTAGACAAAATCAATAACTTTTTCCTTTCTACCGCGACTTCTTCTCTTCTACAGAGTCTCATCTGAAAAACTGCTTCGTATATTTTGTCACAGAGGAGGCACGAAGGAGCCAATTAGGTAAGAAATTGTTCATTTGTTATTTGAGGACTTTATCGATGTTGCTGCAGCTGCGCTTACTTTGCTCATAAGGACTCTGATACTCCAGGTTTGGCATTGCAGAAAAATTAGTTCACCATGCAAAGGGAGTCCAAACACCTAGAGCAGTTTAAACCAGGTAACCACAGTGTTTCTGATATGTTTTAAAAGCCTAAACTATTCCTTCACGCTCTCCAAGTTGGATGTGATCTCCCGGTCATTTCTGCAGAGCAGCGCACATTAAAGCCTGTATCAGCTGATGTTAATGTTATACGGATTTTGCAAGCTTTTAGACATTTCGTATTAATCTTCACTGGTGCAGTGATCGAGCCCGATACAAATCCGCAGGGTTAAATGGTTAAAACTACACTAAGCGACTCATTATGTCGAACCTGCAGCGGTCAATTCACGTTTCAGCGACTTATTAAAACGTGATAATGCGGCTCCCCGGGTGGCATCTTTCCTCACACACTAAGGATACCCTTATTTATTTTTCAGGCTAAATCTGTTGACCCAGGATCAGTTTGTGCAATAAAATCGGCACACAATGGGGCATTTGCTCCCCATTATTAGCAGACGCCATATCAACAGATAAATCAGTCTAAGTGCGTGGAAACATCGGCTGTACTCTCTCCTTGCACAGAATTGACCTGCTCTGTCCTGCTTGCTTCATCCGCAGTTTTGTCTTAACCCAAAGGAGGAACGACGAGCCTACAGTTGTAACAAGCAGAGTTCCAGCAGCAGTGTGTGTTGGCACTTTACTGTTGCCTACGATGCACAGAGAGATTAGAAACCTGTGTTTTTCTGCCATTCGAGTCCCAGGAGCCGCTGGTGGTTATGTTGAAATAGAAGCTCTGAGCTGCTCCTGAGTCCTCCTCTGCAGAAATGGGACCTGATTTGTCTCAGCCTGTTGTACATTAGCCCCCTCTTCTCCCTCAGTGGGTGTTCTGTTTCAGATGAGACTATAAGAACATTTCAGCAGTAAATACATCTGCCCCATGCACAGATACTATACCACTACTACTTCGATTTTGGCCTGTTGAAGATGATCCGCCTATTGTTGGTTGAGTCAGAGACAGCCCGGTCTTGTTATTGTGTGCTGATCTGTCCCTGGCCTTGGAGAGGTTTTGGAGACATTTCTAAAATGAATGTTCATCCTAAGTTGCTTTGATTGAACACCAGAGGCAGATTTGGCTCATGTTTTGGCTGTTGTGTGACAAACATCATGCACACCCTGGTCCACTCAGTCAGATGTTTAAGTGGCTGGGTCTTGTGATTTTCTTTGGTTTGGTCTTGTCCCTGCTCCTCTCAGCTGCTGCTGTGGGGAAGCCACTGCTGGCTTGTGGTTTCCTACCACAGCTATACAGTGACTTAGCACTCTGTACTGTACACAGGACGTTGCAACATGCCTTCGGGTAATTTTATCTGACATGCTGGTGACAAAGAGAGGTGCTGCTCTTCAGCTGGTTTGTCTGGTGTCACACTTGCTAAAATTATAATGCACACAAATCCACGTTCTCCCCTCGTTGGTGTCAGTCTCCCACACTGGGAAGCAATCAGCTTTTCTTTTTTTCCTCTGTTTTTTCCCCCCAGCACCATTAGGAAAGTCACAATCTGCTGACGGGTGAGTTACAGTTGTAAGTGTAAGACAGAGAGCAAAGGACCAGCAGTACATTCAATTTTTACTTCACCACTGAAAATTGCTTGCTCTCCGTCCAGCTCTCATTTTCAGCTCCTGATAGGTCCACCGCTCAGTTAGCATGGTTAATGGTGCGTTTAGCCCAGTGTGTAATTTTATTTCCGATTTCCATGTCGGCGCTTGCTTTTAGTTTGAAATGACAAGAAGCCTCAGTGGAGGGGCCCTGCGCGTGCAGATGGCATCTTCCTAATGGCCCTCAGGGTAATGATGTTTGAAATAGGCTCCCTACCAGGGGCTGAGGACTGTGGCCCTTGGGGGACATTCAGTGGGCCTATTTCTATTTTCATCATCAAGACAGAGTGCACATAACTACATAAAACACTCATACACACACAGTCAGTTTGCAGTTCGGATTGGTCAGTGGAAAATACAGAATTCCAATGGGACACATGAGGACATGTTACATTAAATCCCCAAGTGAACTTGATGTTGCTGAATTGCTGCACTCCTGCTCATTTTGCCTCCATTTCAAGCTCAGTAGAACTTGAGAGCATCAGATGATGTTTTATTGGCTTTTGTTGTGGCACCTCGAAAACAGCAGTTTGTCTGAAGTGTCTTAGACCTCAAGCACATGGTGGCATTGTGCAGCCACCGATGCCTGAAGAATGGGCCGGGGCGGTGCTGTGCTTCAGGAAGCAGCAGTTAATCTCAGCTCCTCATCCGCAACATATGGAACTTTGTTTGGCCCTGCAACTGACAGAGGCACCGGTCTGTGGCACCTCATATGTCATTGTGATAATGCCTGGTTACCCATGGCAACTGGGCAGCCAATGAGAGCCCTGCTTCTTGAATCGCCCACCCTCTCCTGGCTGGTTCTGTTGTGTCCAGTGAAGGATGTGGGACCCCTGGGCAGTGAATTATTACCTGTCACCCTGCATGGTCCCCATACTTCAGACTACCTGTCGAGACCACTGGGCCCTGGCCTCTAGGCCTGACCTCATTTGGCCACAGCTGGTAAAAAAAAAATCACATTAACCGTTGTATCAGGTATTACAGGTTAAGAACAGAAGGACTTGCCTCTTTTCTTCTGCAGCATGACTGAAGTGGGTCTTCAATTACTGTCAGCTCCTTTACTGTGCCTGGAAGATTGGAGATTCTGTCTTTCCTTTGTGCTGAATCAGTGCACTGTATCTCCCACATTTATTGGCCTGTTCGTTTCCAGATTTCCTGTAGCATAGAAATAATGTCTACAGTCTGTTTAATTACATTTTGCCCTGTTGTTCAAGTCTTCTGGAAGTAAAGGTGAATAGTGTGGATGTTTTCTGCACTGACAGCCTCTCATCCCACAAGTCCAATCATCAGCTATTAGATCTGAATTTCTGGCAGGCTTGTAATTACTCCTGATTCCAAAAACAGGCGCACGGTGGCTTCCCTCCTGTGGTCCTGGTGTGGTTAGTGCAGGACTGGAAATTATAGCTAGGCTGATGAGTGTGTAAATTTTGGGAGGAAAAGCTTTGAGGTCAGTGAAAGGCTAGAGAGAAGGAGAGGGAGAAGAAGAAAAGAGCGGCAGGAGGCTGCAGACCACAAACTGGACACGTGACAGGCCTCCGTGCGTCCATCCAGACTGGCTGGCTTCCTGTGGCTTCACTGAGGTGTTCTTTAAAAACGTTAACCCCTTGTCGAACATGGACTTGGGCTCCGCTTGCCAGCCCGCCGCAGCCACAGGCGGCGAAGCGGCAACGCTGGATGACTGTCTGGCTGTGCTTTGTGAAGCACAGTGAATGGAGTCCAACAATTAAAGGGGAAAGTATAACCTGCAGCTTGCAGTGTCAGCGGATTGCCTCAGATTTATATTTTCAAGTGAGCAAGGGTCGTGTGTCCCATGAAAGAATATTTGTTAAAAATGAAAACCTCAATTATTTCATGTTTTGAAAGCTTTTATTTTCTTCCTGTGTTGAGATGTGGTTTTGTTTTAAAAAAAAGCTGTAGTCAGGGTCATAATACTTGTGGATTCATGCTTTATACAGTGAGGAACAGAAGTATTTGAACACCCTGCGATTAAGTTCTCCCACTTAGAAATCATGGAGGGGTCTGAAATTCACATTGTAGGTGCATTCCCACTCTGAGAGACAGAATTAAAAAAAAAATTCAGGAAATCACATTGTATGATTTTAAAAGAATTTCTCTTGAACTGCTCAACATAAGTATTTGAACACCTGAGAAACAGCAAGAATTCTGGCTCTCAAAGACCCGTTACTGTGCCTTGAAAAAGTCCACCTCTACTCCACTCATTAATCTAAATTAGTAGCACCTGTCTGAGCTCTTTAAAGACACCTGTCCACCCCACAGTCAGTCAGACGCCAACTACTACCATGGGCAAGACCATCATCCTCTCCTTAATACAGTGCAGACGTCCTGTCCCCTTCACAGAAAAGCACCCCCAAAGCATGATGTTACCACCCCTATGCTTCACAGTAGGGATGGTGTTCTTGGGAAGCAACTTGTCCTTCTTTTTCCTCCAAACACGACGAGTGAAGTTTAGACCAAAAAGTTCTACTTTGGTCTCATCTGACCACATGACTTTCACCGATGCCTCCTCTGGATCATCCAGATGGTCTTTGGCAAACTTCAGACGGGCCTGGACATGTGATGACTTGAGCAGGGGAACCTTTCGTGCAATGCATGATTTGAAACCATGACGGCGTAGTGTTCTACCGACAGTGACCTTTGAAACTGTGGTCCCAGCTCTCTTCATGTCATTGACCAGCTCCTCCCTATCGTTCTGGGCTGATTCCTCACCTTTCTTATCATCAGTGATACCCCACGAGGTGAGATCTTGCATGGCGCCCCAGTCCGAGGGAGACTGACAGTCGTCTTTAGCCTCTTCCATTTTCTAACAATTGCTCCAACAGTTGATCTATTTTCACCAAGCTGCTTGGCAATTGCCCCGTAGCCCTTTCCAGCCTTGTGGAGGTCCACAATTTTGTCTCTGGTGTCTTTTGACAGCTCTTTGGTTTTGCCCATGGTAGTAGTTGGTGTCTGACTGACTGTGGGGTGGACAGGTGTCATTAAAGAGCTCAGACAGGTGCTACTAATTTAGATTAATGAGTGGAGTAGAGGTGGACTTTTTCAAGGCACAGTAACAGGTCTTTGAGAGCCAGAATTCTTGCTGTTTCTTAGGTGTTCAAATACTTATGTTCAGCAGTGCAAGACAAATAAATTCTTTAAAAATCATACAATGTGATTTCCTGAAATAATTATTTTTTAATTCTGTCTCTCAGAGTGGGAATGCACATACAATGTGAATTTCAGACCCCTCCATGTTTTCTAAGTGGGAGAACTT